CCTCACGAGCACAATTTAGTGCCCTGGAATTTCCGTGCTTCGCAGTGTTATCCATAATTCGTCATGATCCAGACAGTTGAATGCCTTTACATAGTTAGGAAAACACAAGTAATCATTCTTCTGGTATTCTCTGCTTTCAGCCAAGATCTATCTGACTTCAGCAATGACATCCCTCATTCCACGTCCTCTTCTGAATCTGGCTTGAATTTCTGACAGTTCCCTGTTGATGTACTGCTGCAACCACTTTTGAATGATCTTCAGCAAAACTTTACTTGCGTGTGACATTAATGATATTGTTCAGTAATTTCCGATTTCAGTTGCATCACCGTTCTTTGGAATCGGCACAGATATGGATCCCTTCCAATCAGTTGGCCAGGTAGCTGTCTTCCACATTTCTTGACATAGATGAGTGAGCACATCCAGCGTTGCATCCATTTGTTGAAACATCTCCATTGGTGTCTTAGTCATCTGTGCTGCTATAACAGAAATATAACAAGTAGATGGCTGTAACAAAGAAACGTTTATTCTCTCACAGTCCAGAAGGCTACAAGTCCAAATTCAAGGTGTCAGCTCAGAGGAAGGCTTTCTCTTCTCTGTCGGCTCTGGAGGAAGGTCCTTGTCATCTGTCTTCCCTTTGTCTGGGAGCATCTCAGTGCAGGAACCTCAGGTCCAAAGGACACGCTCTGCTCCCAGCACTGCTTTCTTGGTGGTATGAGATTCCCATGTCTCTCTGCTCACTTCTCTCTTATATCTCAAAAGAGATTGGCTTAAGACACTATCTAATCTTGTAGACCTCATCAGTATAACTGCTGCTAATCCATCTTATTACATCATAGTGATAGAATATACAACACACAGGGAAATCACATCAGATGACAAAAGGAAGACAATCGTACAATACTGGGAATCATGACCTAGCCAAGTTGACTGATATTTTTGGGGGACACAATTTAATCCATGACAATTGGTATTCTGTTAATTCCTGGAGCCTTGTTTTTCACCAACCCTTCAGTGAAGCTTGGACCTCTTCCTTCAATACTATGAGTTCTTGATCATATGCTACCTCCTAAAATGGTTGAACATCAACCAATTCTTTTAGGTACAGTAACTGTGTATTTTTTCCATCTTCTTTTGATGCTTCCTGCATCATTCAATACTTTTCCCGTAGAATTCTTTAATATTGCAATTCGGGGCTTGAATTTTTTCTTCAGTTGTTTCAGTTTGAGAAATGCCAAGTGTGTTCTTCCCTTTTGGTTTTCTAACTCCAGGTCTTTGCACATGTCATTGTAACACTTTAGTCTTCTCGAGTTGCCCTTTGAAAGCTTCTGTTCAGCTCTTCTACTTCATCATTTCTTCCATTTACTTTATCTACTCTATGTTTAAGGGCAAGTTTCAGAGTCTCTTCTGACATCCACTTCGGTCTTTTCTTTCTTTCCTGTCTTTTTAGTGACCTTTTCCTTTCTATGTGTATGATTTCCTTGATGTCATCTCACACCTCATCTGGTCTTTGGTCGTTAGTGTTCAATGCATCAAATCTGTTCTTGAGATGGTCTTCAGCTTGAACTTGCATATAAGCAGTTGATGGTCTGTTCCATAGTCTGCCCCTGACCTTGTTCTGACTGATGACATTGAGCTTCTCCATCATCTTTCCACAGATGTAGTCAATCTGATTCCTGTGTATTCCATCCGGTGAGTTCCATGTGTATAGTCACCGTTTATGTTGTTGAAAAAAGGTATTTCCAATAAATAGGTTGTTGGTCTTGCAAAATTCTATCGTGCGCTCTCCGGAGTCATTTCTATCACCAAGGCCATATTTTCCAACTGCAGATCCTTCCTCTTTGTTTCCAACTTTTGCACTCCAATCACCAGTAATTATCAATACATCCTGACTGCACGTTTGATCAATTTCAGACTGCAGAAGTTGGTAAAAATCTTCTATTTCCTCATCTTTGGCATTAGTGGAAGGTAGGGAGTCAAACGCAGGTGGAGCCACCTACTGCGTCTCCACATACGAGCTGCAGCTGGAACAGCAGCAGGCTGCTCCTGGTGATCCCAAGATCCTGGACAGAGAAGCTCTCCGTGCCCCTCAGAGGCTTCCCAGCAAGTTGGGAGAAGGCCATTCAGCTCTGGGGTGGGGTTCTGTCCCATAACTCAGAGGGAGGAGAGGAGGTAGATGCAGCCTTCTATCCCAAAGGTTAGCAAAGCCCAAGGGCCAAACTGGGCCACAGCCTGCTTTTGTAAATAAAGTTTTATTGGAACACAGCTACGTGCATGTGTTCACATAATGTCTATATCTGCTTTCATGATACAAAAACAAAGTTCAGTAGTCAAAACAGCGTCCATGTGGCTTACAAAGACTAAAACATTCACAAACTGGTCCTTTACAGAAAGGAATTACCGCTCTTTATTCTAACCTAAGGCAACTCTCGGGGGAGACCCTGGCCAGCTCTGGGACGTCCTGGAGCTGTCAGCTGAGGGGTGCGGACAGACATGGAGAATAAGAAGTGAGCCCAAGTCAAACCCAGTCCCACGTATAACTCAAAAAACAAAGAAAAAACCCCAAAGCAGTTGCCATTGAGTCCACTGCAACTTCCGGAGACTCCACACGTGTCCAAGCAGAACTGTGTTCTGTAGAGTTTCCAATGGCTGAGATTTTGAAAGCAGATCACCAGGCCTTTCTTCCAAGGTGCCACTGAGTAGACTCGAACCTCCCATCTTTCGGTTAGCAGACAAGCATGTTAACCGTTTGCACCACTAAGAGACCCCCATACATAGCTTAGAATACAGATTACCAAAATGTTTTACGTTTTTCTAACAAAACGCCACCAACACTTTCAAAGACCATCTTGTCCACAATTATTTCAACAGACAGAAAACACCCTTTTCCTTTTTTTTTTTTTTTCCCATGATAAAATAAGCTTAAAGTCTGCTGCGAAAAATTAAGGGCTGTTTTTCCCTGTCTAAGGCAGTAATTCAGAAGCAGATGCTGCTGCAGATGTTTTACCAGGCACAGCCAAGCCTCGTGATGTGCGTTTTTATAATGCAGCTGAGCAACGTAGCTTCACTCTCAAAGAGCGATTTCAGTATTCAAACACATCAATCTGCTTTGCTAAGGAGGAAACCAGCAACCTCGCAGAAGGTTCCTGGAACCCCAGCTGAAAGGCTACCCCAGCCCATCCAGGTGAGCTGCTTCCCTGCACCAGGCAGGAAGGAAATAAGGAAAGATGGTACCTTATGTCACTGAAAACCTGCGCCACAGTTGGAGGGGACACCAGCAGGGAAGACAGGGAAGACATAATAATGGCCTCGTCCTGGTAGTTCACCCTGGCTAGTCCCAGCAAAGGGCTGCAGGGGCAAAGAAACAGCTGACTCTACTGTCGGGAGGTCATCACAGAAATGCATGACTAAGGGAGGGACATCTGAGTTGGGTCTTGAAGGGTGAATAGGAGTTTTCCAGGGCAAAGAATGCAGGACAGTTTAATAGCTACAAGTAGAGGGCGAAATTCAGAGATGCTGAAGGGGCCTGGACTGGGAGGGCCCTGGGCAGAGGATAGGGCTCAGGATTTCATCCTAGAGGCCACAGTGACCCCAAAGGACAGAATTGCTGTTTTGAGTTGGGAAGATAATGGTCACGGCAGACAGAGGACGGGGCAGAGTGCACTGAGCCTGGGGGCCTCCAGCAGACACCCTCCTCCTTGACCTCCTCTCTGTTCCCGCAGATGAGGAGCCCCCCATCACCCCATTCTGCTTAGTATCCGGTCCACATCCCACCAGCCTCCGTATGTAAAGATCCTTGAAGTCAGAGGTAGAGCGGAATAAAAGAGAAGCGGAGAAGATACTCACTAGTGATGCCCGCAGTCACCTTCTGATGTCCAGGCATTTTCCTGACCTTAATCAGCAGGGAACCTGGTGCCCCCCCAACCCCTAAGCAGTGCCCACACCCCGGGCCCACCTCCCCTGAGCCAGGCTCCAGTCCCTCCCTCCACGAAGCCTCACCCGGGCCCTCCTCTCGCGTGGGACCAGCAGCCCTCCAGGTCTCCCGCTAGCAGGCTGGGAGCTCGGAGCACACGCGGTACATGGTGCTGCTCCATCTTCCATTTGGGGTCCATGCACCCAGAGGGGGGATCACATCCCACACCCCGGTGCTTCCCAAACACCTACACCCCGAAACTCCCTAGGATGTCACCCTCTGTGTACACAGAAGAAAAAGTGTTTCTTGGACTTGTGCACACGTGTTAACAGTGTCCCCACATGGGGACTAAAGCACATCGGGCCACATTTGTGGCATGTAGGAGTGGTAGGTGTCCCTGGAGGGAGTGAACAGTTAAGCTCTCAACTCTTAGCCAAAATGTTGGTGTTCGAACCCTGCCAGCAGTGCCTCGGAAGACAGGCCTGGCAGTCCGCTTGCAAAAGGTCACAGCCTTGAAAACACTGTGGAGGAACCAGCAGCTCTGCAAGACATTCCCTGAAACTCGCTGAAAGACCACCCCGACCCCAGCAACCCCACCAGAACGGACTCGACGGCAACACACAGCAACGAAGGAGCTGGCAGGCCTGCCTGCTAATAACGGGGCTGCTGAAGACGGCCGGGAGGGGTTATCACAGCCATGACCGCCCACTCCATGGCCCTAGTCGCCACCACTCCACGTTCCAGGAAGACGGGCGGGCGCGAGGCACCATAACTGGGCAGCGTTCGCACCCTTGGCCACAGAGGGTGGACACACGTTGGGTACCCATGGATTGTCACATCCTTATGTCTTTTCATCGGACTCGTGTTCCAATCCCAGCTCAGGTGTGTCCCAGCTGCGCCACCTGGGCCCCTGGCTCTGCTCCCCAGAGGCCCAGCTTCCGCTTTCCTAAGAGGGACGAGAGTTCTCACCGGAGAAGCCAAGTGCGCCTCACCTGAGAGGACACCTGTAAGGCGCTCAGCACAGCGCCAGGCGCAGGGTGGCAGGGAGTATGGACAGAAGTAAGGCATGACGCGGGGGCGCACCACTCACCTGGTTGTAGAGGGCGCAGATGTGCAGCGCGGTGTTCCCCGAGGCGTTCTGAGCACCCATGTCCGCCCCGTAGAACAGCAGGTGCTCCAGGTGCTGCACGTGTCCATACCGGCAGGCCTGGAACACAGAGGCCATACGGTGAGTCGGGGGCCTGCCGCACAGCAAGGACAAGCCCAGGGCCACGCCCAAATCCACCACGCACAACCTGCCAGGCAGCCGTGTCCACCAAAACCTCAAGGTGGGGCCCGCCCTTCTGGACCAGGAGCCCCCAAACACATCAGCATCTGTTATGGATGAAATTGTGTCCCCAAAGATACGCTGAAGTCCTAAGCCAGCACCTGTGAATGTGACCACATTTGGGGAAACAGGGTCTCTGAAGATGTTACCAGTTAACACGGGGTCATACCAGAGCAGGCGGGGTCCTGATCCTAACCCTGTGTGCGTGGTGTCTTCATAAAACAGGAGAACAGACGTGGAGACAGGGTCACACACGGAGGGACAGACAGTACGTGACGCTGGGGGCAGACGCATCCACAAGCAGCAAAGGACGCCACGGATGGCCGGCCGCCACCAGAAGCTGGGAGACAAGCGCGGGGGGGTTCCTCTCTCAAAGCCCCCAGAAGGGGTCGGCACGGCCAAGACCCTGACTCGGACTCCCAGCCTCCCTCGCTGTGAGACAGTGAGTTCCTCACATCTCATGGTGGCTGACGGACCCCTGGCTGGGACTGGGAAGCAGGACCCCCTCCTGACAGGTTTGAGGACCTGTGCTTGGCTGTTAGATAGGGGCTCTGGGGCGCCCCAAATCCTTTCCATTTAGATCAAGGAGCCAAGAAGCCAAGAGAGGCCCCCAGTGGCTCCCCCCACCCACCCACTCAGTAACCAGCCCATGAATACAAGCCAGGACTCTCATCCTGGCCTCGTATCCAAGCTCCACCCTCAGGGTGTGGGGCATGAAAACAGGGGCAGAGTTGTCCATCTCTGCCAGGAACGGCCCTGATTTTATTGCTTTAAAGGGGAACCCACCACCTACGGGGGCTGCGGACGGCAGGAGAGGGTCCTTTTCTGAGCCTTTCTACAGCGATAGCTTGTGTGGTTTATGATCCATGGGGCTCAGGGCCAGACAGATCTGGATCCAAGTCACCTCCATGGACCACGGCTGTCACCTCCATGGACCAGGACTGTCACCTCCATGGACCATGACTGTGGCCTCCATGGACTACAACTGTCACCTGTGAGCCCATGTCCCCACCTGTGAACAGGTATGACATCACCCTCTCGGAGTTCTTAGGAGGATCACGTGGAATAACGGCCTCGAAGGGCCTCCACCATGTGTGACCTCTCTCTGCCCCAGCTCATGGAGCAAGGAGGCATCTCATGCAATTGAGTCAGGCACGCTGCCCAGCTCTGGGGGCCGCTTCACCAAAATCACCCACCATCCATGCTGCGGAGCAGCGTCACGTGACTCCCAACCCAGGGCAGGACGTCAGATCCAGCCAGCCGCATGCCCACCCACCAGCACCTCCGGGTACCTTGGGGAAAGCCGGTGAGCTGCCAGGACTGACGGGGGCCCCCAAAGGTGAGAAGACCCACTGCCCTGTGGCGGGGCTGCTCTGGATGGGATCCCCAGAGGGAAGGGAGACAGGTTAGCCTCAGCACATGGGCTGCTACTAGGTAGGGGGTGAGAGGATCCAGCCGGATGAGCCTTCATGAACCAAGCATTCTGACCATCGAGACTGACTGATGTTCGCCTTGGCGCAATCCACGAGAAGGAGCCACATCTCACCAATTACTGGTGAGGAAAGATGACAAGGAAGATATGTCAACTAGTAATTAGATGAGCTTGGAAAAAACCTGAGAAACACACATTTACAACTGCTATGCCTCCCGCAGAATAATTTCATTAGTGGGCAAAGCAGGTCCTAGTTGTAGATAATGCTGCTTCTATCCGCCCGGCCTCTGATGGGCCTTCTTTCGGAAGTAGAGCTTGCATTTTCTTTCAGGGGCCCCATTCTCAGAGGCCTAGGGAGGGCCTGTCCCACCCTGCTCCTGCAGAGGCGCTGGACGCGGGCCCAAGGCATCAGCGTATTCCATCTTCCACCACAGGCATGGTGCGCAGAGGCCCACGGGACCACAGCGGAGGCATGAAGACTGAAGACCAGAAGGTTTGTCAGAACACGGCTCCACCCTTCCTGGGCACCAACACTGAAGAAGGGAAGCATGGGAAGGAAGGGGGAAAAAGACGAGAGAGACAGAGAGACACGCAGAGAAAGACAGAAACACACAAAGAGACAGACAAAGACACAGAGATAGCAGAGAGACATACAGGGAGAGACACGTAGAGAGAGAGACAAAAACACAGAGGAAGACAGAGAGACACATAGAGACAAAGACACACACGCAGAGACAAAGACCTAGAGAGAGAGACAGAGATGCACACATTAAGAGAGACAGACAGAGACACAGACAAAGATACACAGACGCAGAGAGACACAGAAAGAGACAGACTAAGACACCACACAGCCAAGATGATACTGTTTCAGCTCCTTGATCCGGTTCAAAAAAAAATACGTCTAAACTCAAAAATTATGTCTAAGCTACAGCTACCCTAAGACTTTTCAGAATCTTGAAGACTAGACATAAGTTTTTTCCCTTAAACAAGTTCCAGATGGGATTTTTTGTTCCTTATAATAAACGCAGCACAGGCTAACAATCTCTTCCCCAAAACTCCAGGAGGCGATGCTTTGTTATAGCTTAATTTAATTACTCTGCAGTCAATACAGAAGAGAACTCCGTTACCATAAAAACATTCTAAAAATAATCCAGACTCATTACTCCCCTTCCCCCAGTTAATCTGAATTTATGAGGTTTAGATATCACCCATGGGATGACCTCACTCTCTCCTCACCAAGGGTCAAAATATGACCAAAGTTAGGAGATAAAACAGAGTTGTGACTCTAAGCAGATGGTTTGAGAAGAATATGCTCAAGGGCCTTGTGCTCTTTTTTTCTTCTTTCTCTGTGCTTCTTGCTTAAAACAGAAAACGGCTAAAACAAAACAAAACAAAAATTACCCATAATCCCACCATCTTGATTCTACCATTGTTAGGATTGAATTGTGTCCCCTCAAAATGTGTATCAACTCGGCCAGGTCATGTTTCCCAGTATTATGTGGTTGTCCACCATTTTGTCATCTGAGGCGACTATCCTATGTGTTGCAAATCCTAACCTCTATGATGTTAATGAGGCAGGATTAAAGGCAGTTATGTTAACAAGGCAGGACTCAATCTACAGGATCAGGTTATATCTTAAGTCAGTTTCTTTTGAGATATAAAAGAGAGAAGTGAGCAGAGAGGAGAGGACCTCATGCCACCAAGAAAGAAGTGCTGGGAATGGAGCACGTCCTTTGGACCCAGGGTCCTTTCGCTGAGAAGCTTCTAGACCAAGGGAAGATTGATGACAAGGACCTTCCCCCAGAACGAACAGAAAGAAAAAGCTTCCCCTGGAGCTGGGGCCTTGAATTCAACTTCTAGCCTCCTAGACTGTACGAGAATAAACTTCTGTTTGTGAAAGCCATCCGCTTGTGGGATTTCTGTTATAGCAGCACTAGATAACTGACCAAAAACCAAACCTGTTGCTGTCGAGTTGATTCCGACTCACAGCAACCCTACAGAACAGAGTAGAACTGCCCCATAGGATTTCCAAGGAGCGTCTGGTGGATTCGAACTGCCGACCTTTTGGTTAGTAGCCGAGCTCTTAACCACTGCACCACCAGGTTTCCTCTAGATAAATAAGACAACCATGAACATTTGTTTAAAAGGATCACCTTTGCTGTTCTCTTCTTTTCTTTTTAAAGCCTGATTGTTAAATTACAGGAGTAATATTTCTGAGGAAGAGAGCACCCTGGTAGGGCCAGAAGGCAGCCTAGGGGGTGGTGAAGGGAAACAGACAAAGCAGGGATGAGAGCAATCCAAAAAAGAAGGTGCTTAGATGGGGACAGAAGCCTGGCTGTATACAGGGGGACAGAACAGTGAACAAGTGAAGGGACAGGAGCCAGATTCTCACTGTCAGAGAAGGGAGGTATAAATGCACACAGGGGACAATCAGAATACATCCTGTGGCACTGGACTGGAAATTAGAGGTATCAGTATGAACCCATGATAGAAAATAAACATGTGTAGACATAGATGTATATACATATATGTGTAGACATCCCTAGCTCTGGCTACTGAGAGGATCTGGGAGCAGCAACAGCCCAGTACCAATGGGCACACCTAGCACCCATTTTGTGGTTTCTAAATACCATTCTGTACTACAAAGATCCAGGGCTCCTTAGAGAAATGGCTGATTTGACGACTGAGGTGGGGAAAGAAGATGAGCTGGTAATATCTTGTGCCATAAAGAAAGGAAATGCTCCCAAAAAAGAGGGGCCATTGAAAGGTCGGTGGTTCAAACTCACCAGCCGCTCCTTGGGAGAAAGATGTGGCACTCTGCTTCCGTAAAGATTACAGCCTTGAAAACCCTTGGGGGCAGGTCTACTCTGTCGTGCAGCATCGCTATGAGTCAGAATCGACTCCAAGGCACACAACAACAAAAACAATGCAAAAGAGAAAGTACATATAAACAAGATTACCTTAGTGACAAACACATGGAAATGCAGAAAAGATGGGGACCTGTTCACGGAGCCATCTTGCAGGGGCTCCCCTTGGTCAGGAATGGGACAAGAGTAACAGATTATTGCTTATTGAACAAAACAGAAACAAGTCCACACTGCTATAAGTAACTGAAGGACTAAATAAGTGAATGAGAAGAAAAGCTCTTCCCTGTAATAGAAAGCCAACCAATTAATGTAGAAGCAAGAACAAGATTTAGCAACCATCCTAGTAAACATTAATTCAAGCAGTGGATGCCAAAACTAGCTGGGGGACGAGGAAAGGGATTTTACCTCGTCTCCAAGATCCAAACAAGATACTCGTAAATTAGCAAGGGAGAAAGGGTAGCCGGGGTGGAGAAACCTGGCAGACCCATCTTGTTTTGTGGTCAGAGTGTGCATCACCAGGAACGGGACAAGTGGTCCACATGTGTCACTGGATGGAATGCAATGAACGACAAAAAGACACA